CCTCCTCTTTACTACAGGGGGAGGGGGGAGGGGAGTTTTAATTTAACTACCCCTCTCTCTCTCTCTCTCTCGCTCGCGTGCAAAAAGAACCTCGATGATTGCAAAACGTTTCTAAATGGATAATAAATTTATTACTTTCGATAACTACGATTCACGTGGCGCATGCCACGGGAGGAATAAATCATTGCGGCTGTCTGGCAATTAGAATTTATCGTTTCGAGGCAGACGTTTCTTTATTGTTAAATTTCTCTTCCGCAAATGGAAAGATAAGTAGGCAAAGAGATTTATCAATTTATAACGTATAGCGTGATGGACAGCGATGATAAAAAGGTAATAATATCGAACATTTTATTCCATCGATTGTAAAATTCTTCGGGGGAGAATCGATTTGTTTTTGATGAACGAGGCCCACCTGTGAATTAACAAAAATAATTTTCATGACGTTTCTATTCAAATTATATTATATTAATTTTACACGAAACGTTTCGATTAATTATTCTTGAATAAAATTTTTACGACGATGAATTCCTTTCTAAATAATATATTTCAAATATTTGTTACGAAGAAAATTGTTCGTTGTTTCGATTGAATTCGATTCAATCTTGGCGATCAAATATCGCTTTAACACGTTGTTTAAGAGGAAACGTCGAATTAAGCGCCACATCGATCGATCGCGCGAGGGAAGAAAATTGGCAACTGCGATGTGGCGTAATTCGATATTTTAATTTTCGGAAACACCTGCCCCGAGAACAAAGGATCGTTAGAGACAAAAGAGTCAAAATAGGCCCTTCCTCCTATATCTTCTTGCATTCAACAACTGGTGAAAAGATGCCGCATAAACATCTCTCTGCAAACTCACGCGACAAATTTTAACACCGGATATAGTCGCTACTTTATTCGATAATTGGAACAGCCTTTGGAAAATTACCATTTATCCGTAAAGAGAGCGTACAACAAAAGAAAAAAAAATCGTCTTGAACAAACTTTTCGAGAGAATTTAAAAAAGTCTTGAAAACATCTTCAAAAAAAAGAAACGGAATGAATTAAATTCGTAAAACTTGAGAATCGATATGGGTGGAGGAACGGCGGTCTATTTGTCGTTCGTTGTCGAGAAACCAATCAAACTCTCGTTTAACGTGAAATAATGGTTGGTTACAGCGCGGACGAAGGGTTCGACGGCACTTATCCGACGAACGTCGTTGTGAAGAACAATGGGACCTGCTTATACGTGCCGCCCGGCATATTCAAGAGCACTTGCAAGATAGACATTACCTGGTTCCCCTTTGACGATCAACGCTGCGAGATGAAATTCGGCTCCTGGACGTACGACGGCTTTCAGGTAGGGGCGGCAACACTGGTAAATGGGTCGGCACAGATCCGTTTCTTCTGCCATTCCGTTTGCCATGCGTTTAAAAATTCCCTCGGCTACGGTCGAGATGCCACGCTTTTCCAAGTATCTCGCTTTAACTCGGATGGTTTTCACTTTGAAACGTTGAAAGAGCAGTCGATTTAATGGAAATTAAATATATATATCTATATATATATATATATGTATCGTGTGAGTCTTTAATGCCGAGTTTTTAAAACTGGTTATTTAATTCATGACTGATGATTTAGTCGTGTCTTTGGTAGGAAAGGATGTTAAGGATGTTGTTAAGGAAGGAGAAATTCGATGAATCTATTTGCTCTTTGAATGGTTCGAGAGGAGAGATGCATCTCGAAAATTGTGAATAATATTTTGTTACATAGAAATTGTACCACACCATTGGTGATTTATTTGAATTTCCCGCCTTACGGTTTTTCGTTGATATTTTATTAGTTTCATTTGTACGAAAGTTTTTTGAATTATTCGAGTTGTTATTTATATTTTTCAAGTATTGAGAAGTGTAATTCTTACGATCAACGCATTTTATATCGGTCATTTCGAGAAAATTTGAGAATATTCTTTAACCATCTTTTCAAAAGGTTTGTTAAACCTTTCGATTACACTCTGTTTGCCGGAGAATATTGGCTATCCCAGCCAAGATTCGGTTATTTATCGAAGTATTTTTCGATAACTTTTAATAAAAAAACATAACTATTTTCCAATATAAATTATTCCAAATTATCATTATTTCTTTGTTGTTTCTAATTCTTTTTTAAAAGGAGTCACTCTTCCGGTTTCAAATCAACGCGTGCCCGATCGTAGGTAAAAGGAAGAAGGGAGAAGATTTAAATAAAATTGTTTCGAACAGATTATCCCCTTTGTTTCAATTTATGAAGAGGAGCCGAGTCCCCGATTTAATTTACCCCGGTTACATAAACTTTCATCGACTTCTGGGCTACGAAATTTATGCGGCAATTATGCGTAATACGAAGTGAATGGGATTTAAAGAATCGAAATGTACCTTTTCAAGGGGAGCACTCTCCTCCGTTTAATCTCATAAACCGTTAATTTCGTTAAAGTGTCCGCGCAGCCTTTTTCGGTCGGAGTAATGTAAATGTGGGGTGGGGGAGGGAAGGGGGACGTTTCCGGAAAACATTATTTCGAGAGAAGTCGTTGAAAATTTCGTGATTCGTGGATTTCGCGTAACAATAAACGCGCAATGAGAATTCTCTGGTAAATGCAGTTTCTCGCCTCTTGCTGTTTCAGCCAAATTTTCTTCGACGTTTCAACATCACGTGACAACTTATGGAACGGACACCCACTTATTCTTCTCACTTATCGATTTTTAAATATTTTTCGATAACTTTTACATAATCGTTTACCTTTCAAATTATCATTACATTTCTTTGTTATTTTTGATTTTTTTAAAAATTATGTCAATGTTAATGCGATTCTTTTTTTTTTTTTTTTGTAAACAAATCAAACTAATTTATTCGATCTCTCGATGATATTTGTTTCGTTAAAAATTATTATCGATAATACATCCGTGTTTAAAAATAAAATTTGAAATCGAAGGCGGAATGGAAGATTCGTCGTCTTCATTTGTCGCTCGCGCGATCATTCTGAATAATTAAAATTGAGGATGCGAATTACACGGAATTCGAGAATGCCTGAGGGTTCATTAAGGAGGACAATAAGCAGAACGAAGTAGCGAAGGGGGAGAGAACGTAGAACGCTCTCCTTCGATTTGGTGTGCAACGCATTCGAGGGGTCCCTATCGATCATTTCCCCTTTACTTTTTCCGACACGGGACGTCGATCGCAACTCGATATCGAGGCAACTTTATACAGCGTATCGCATTCGACAGGCAATTAATTTCGCCACGTCTTGCCTAATACATCTATATTTTATCTATCTTTAACGTAAAATAATGAAAATTCGTGCGAAAATATTTTCAAACATTGTATATTTAAATTAAGAACACTTTTATTATTAATATATTTCATCGCTACTTTAAGATTAAAATACAAATTTCTAATTCCAATTTTCTGAAAAAAAAAAAAAGAAAACACGCTAACTGTTGCGCACTGCGGCGATAATAACTCTCCCCTAATCGGCGGTAATAAATTTTCAACAGTTGGATCTGCAACTGCAAGACGAGGCCGGAGGTGACATCAGCAGTTTCATCACCAACGGCGAGTGGGATCTGTTGGGTGAGTTTTTACAACCCCTTATCGGGTAGCTATTCGTCTCCACACACGGCTTGAAGGCGGCTTCCTCGAACGATTAGCAATTCTAAAATCCCCCTCCTCCCCTCTTGTGCACAGAGTTCTCCATTCACGCGCGATCAATCGTTTTCATTTCACGGCCGACACAGGCTTCTGCATCTTACTACCATTGGCTTTGTCTAATCCAGATTTTCATCGAGGAAGGGGAGGAGTTACAGGGTGATTCGTAACGTTTTCGAATTCACACTCGGGAAATTAATTCCCCGTGTTCTCTCTGGATTCCAAATTTATTTCGATCACAAATGCTCGGGCGAATCTTATTTTAATATAAGATTCGTCTGAATTAACGTCTGAATGGAACGTGTTCTTAATTGCTGAAAAAAGAAAACTTTCTCGAGCGAATGAGATCGATGATGTTCGGTTGAAAAATGTTTTTGGAAACGCGAAATTGTTGGAGGTGTAACCACGCTCTTTCTGAATTGGCGCGTGTAAATTAATGTATTTTGTCGCCAGAGGGCGCTAGCCAGAGGGATAGCTTATTAGAAAAGTGGAGAGTTCTTTCTCGCAGAAATAAATGCAAGAAAAGTAGTTTAAGAACTTTTGTTTATTAGCAAAGTAGATAATTAGAAATATAAATTAGCTTATAATACTTAAATAAAATAAAGAAGTGATTATTTCTGATCTTATTTGTTAATTTCAATGATAATTCGTCGAATTCAATGATAAGATAAAGCTTTTCTTTTTTCAAGAAAATATTATTCAAATACATATCCGTCTAGATTTATTATCCAATATATATTTTAATTCTTCTTCATACTTTTAAGATGCGTGATTTTAAATTTTGGAAAATTACAAATTTTTAACCGCGAACGAAGAAGGGAATATTTGACCGGAATTTTTAATAGGATTTCGACAAATAATGGCCGAATAAGGTTCCTTAATAATGCATCATTAGCGTAGTCGCATGCTGAATTATTTACTTCCATACTGCGCAATGTTTGCCTTGAACAGAATCTTCCTTCAATGGAAGCGAACACTGCATATTTCCCGATTGGAAAACTGGAAAATTGTCAACTGACTTTCAGAAACGTTTAATTTGCTTTCGTCGAAAGGAATGTAAATTTTACGAGTGTTTCACGATTAATTCTTTTTTTTTTTTTTTATATCAATGAATAAATAATCCAAAATTCATTTCGATATTTTGATGACAGTGACTTGAAAATTAAAGTCGAATTAATCAAAAAATTATTACAAATTTCTGTGAAGAAGCGTATCTAATTGATCGAATTTTTCTAATTTAATTAAATTAATACAGAGAGTATTCCATTTCAAAATGTACAAGAAAAAAATATGTTCTGCTTTCATCATCCAAGCAACTTTTTAAATGTTTTTTGTCGCGTTAAATAGAATAAAAATATTTTTAATAAGATTGCTTGATACTAAAAAAGTAATGCATTTGTGACGTTGATCATAAAATGATGTCATCATTGCAAAGTCACAATCGTCTGTTTAATTCTTCTTACAACTTCTTACAATTTCAATTTCTTGAAGAATATCAATTCTCCAGAGTGGCTCTGGAGAATCGCACACGGATTCTTTCGAATTCCAGGACAAATCTATCCACATTCGCGATATCCTGCCGAGGGATATCAATTTTCCAGAGCGTCCAGAGAGCACACGCGACATTCTAATACAACAAAATAAAAAAAATAAAGAAAGAAGTGAAACGTGCGTTCCCCGCGAATAATACATCTTCCAGGTAGATAACACCTAGTAGACAGCGGAAAATGCAAATTGTAGAATAAAAATGTCACATTGTGCACGGCCACGTAGCTTGTGTATTTCCGGGATGCACGTATTCGCGTAATGCACGTACATGCATACGCGGCATGCATAGATAGCTTATGAAAGAAAGGCAGAAACGTATCATCTTAAGTGAGGCGAGCAGAGTGTGTGGCTATAATCGAAGGAACACTCGAAAATGAAGTCACCGCCTCGCTTCATTCACTTCACAATAGCGCAAGCTGTTGGGTGAAACAGTCGAGTCATCGCTATTCGATCTACCCTTTTTTTCTTTCTCTTTATTATTATTTTTTTCCACGAGCTCTCTGTTTTCCACCAATTTAAAATTGAGCCTGTGCTCGAACTTTGAACAGGTTTAAATTATTCGTGGCTCGAGTGCGAATGGTTTATCATCGTTTTTCACCCATCAATTATTTTACCTTCGAATTCGGAGAATCTGGATAATCCGTGTGAAAATCTGTGTGAATTATTTATCACGCGTTTAGATGAATTATTTTATAATTCGAGTTTCAGAGAATTTCGAATTCAGTGAAATTATAATTTTGTTCGTTTATTTCATTTATTTTTTCCCCTCGTGTTTATATGGAATAGAAGCGAAATCTTATATCGTGAATCGAATATATTCAGCATATATTTGAATGCATTATTCCTATACCCCTTTATTCAAAGAGGATCGAGTCGAAATTTACATTTACAATCAACGATATCTCGGAGCAATTATACGACGCCGCCTGCTTTATCCATCCACTCATCGTTAAAAACTGATAGAACAAAATTTAACTTCTTACGTACATTCGCCTCTTCCCTTTCTCTTAAACGCAAAAATTGAACGTCAAATTTAATTTTGGTGGATGCCAATACAGAAACTGAAAAATATTAATCCTCGAATCTCTTTTATTCGAGATCGTTTTGATTCTATTCTATTCGAGTTATCAGAGTCTGTCCAAGTTCGTTCGTTCTTCTTCACCGTAGTGATTTGCCTTTTAAATATCTCTTCGTCTTTTCGTTTACAGGGGTGCCCGGCAAAAGAAACGAAATTTATTACAATTGCTGCCCAGAACCGTATATAGATATAACGTTCGTGGTGATCATCAGAAGGCGGACTCTTTACTATTTCTTCAACCTGATCGTGCCGTGTGTCCTGATTGCCAGCATGGCCGTTCTGGGATTCACCTTGCCACCCGATTCCGGCGAGAAACTATCTCTAGGTGAGTTGGGTAAACCATTGTTAAAGGTTCCATTTCCATTTGTTGAAACGATTATTGTTGCTGGTCAAACAACAATTTCTAATAAGAAAGAGTGGCGAGGATGTTTTTAGTCGATCCGTTTTTAAAAAATTTTAAAATAATAATTTGATACTATTGTCAAATTGACCCATAATAAGGAGCTTCGACATGAGCTTTATTATGTATTATGTATTATATTGAGTTTATTTATATTAATAAAAAAAAATATTAATCTACGTTCAATAAATATTATATATAATATTGGTAAAGAAAAAACTATTGCTGAAAAAAATATTAAATAAAATCCAGGTAATCATCGATTTTCTCTGTATCCTCATTCTACTACTATAAAAGAAAAAAAATAATAATAATCCTAGTTCATAAAATAAATAAGATACTAATAAATTTAAAAATTATGAATAAAAAATTTAAAGAATAAAAAGTTAATCCAAAAATTCATAAAGTTAATAAAATTAATCTATAAGAATAAAAATAAATATAATTAAATTACCAATAATTATATTTAAATTTTTACTTTTAACAAAAAAGAAAAGAAAAAAAATAATACATACAAAATTAATATTATTATCATTAAAAATATGTAAATGAAAAGATATTATTTATCTACTTATGTTTTCTATAAATTAATTAAATCTATTATATTTAAGCTCTGATGATCAAATTTATAATTTATTCTAACAACTAAAGATAATTCTAATACACAAACAGAAAAAAAATAAATTAAAAATAATCAAGAATTCATTTGAAAATAAATTATTAACTATGAATTCTATTATAATTCTTATAATATAATATCAATGAAATAGATAGAGTAAAAAAGATAAAAATAATTTTGATAAACTTTTAAATTTAAAGCCAAATTGTAAACGTTTCTTAAATAAATCATTAATAAAAAATCGGGACGAAAAGTCGAAGAATGTTGATATCGATGCGTTCACAAAGCCATCGCATTATTTCATTATAAGTCCAAGCCGAGATTCCGATGATTACTCACTTCCAGCAAGTTGAAATCGCTTGCTAGCATAATTGCAATTCCTTGCAGGCTTGGGGAGCACGCTATAACAGCTCACGTGATTAGATTCAGTCCAAGTTCTCGTAACGTATTGAATTGTATGGGAGATTGCCGCCGCGTCGATGTCGATCATAGATATTCATGAAATACACCGGTTTATCGATCGACCCTTCGTGGTTTTACGCCCGAATACGTGAAATTTTCCTTTATAAATACGGCCGTAAACATCAAACTGTTTCAACAGTTAAACGAGAGAAATTAATAATACGAGAGATTGTATAATTTTTTTCAAAATTTAGTTTCATCTTTTAACGAACATATCCGTTACACTTTAGTTTCCCATTTATTCAGCAATCTGTCCACTATATTTAAAATATCTTGTCGATACTGGAACGTTTAAATTTCGAATGTTTCAAGCCAAGTAAAAAAGTTACGAGAGATCAAAAGATCTTTTATAATATTTTTAATTAGAGCTCTCATGATCAGTCTCTCCTCCTTGTTGTGGATTAATCTCGTTGGTGATAATTAATTGATCGAACGAACCTCTTTTGCAGGGGTAACCATCCTCTTGTCCCTCACTGTGTTCCTGAATATGGTGGCCGAGACAATGCCAGCGACTTCGGACGCCGTGCCTCTGCTGGGTAAGCCTGTCAATTTTCGTCCTTTCAACCGAGATAGGGTCAAGATTTTTCTTCGGTTCACTCGATGATTAATAACAAATAGAAAGAAGAAAGTATTTCAAATATTTGAGAGACGAGACGGATGTAAGATAAAAGTTTGGAAAAATGGAATTCTTTTGGGAGATGATTCAGCGGATTCGGTCTTTTCAGTTTCGTACGGTTTCTCAACGTGCGGTTTCTCGTTGAAAATTTGGATTGGAGCCCGCTGAGGAATGAAATATACGCGCACGATCTCCCTTTGTCCGTCATTCCCTCGAACATTTCAACGTTTCTTTGTCAGAAAATTGTATCTTCTCGTTCGTCTTTGTCCCTAAATAACTTATAACTCGGCGAAAATGGCTCTTAGAAGGTATATACTTTTTGAAAATTACCGTTTTTTAATGACCTGGTATCTCGATTGAATACTTTAACATCAGAGTATATTTCAACGAGAAAAACTTGTATACCTATAATAAGAATCATTTTTTACGTTTGAATTTTCTTTTATCGAGGATAATTCTGACTCAAACTTTTTCAATTCCAGTTACATATAACCCCAAACTTCGGAACGATAGCGCAACTTAAAGAAAAAGCAAAGTCGATCTCTCCATCCGATTTCATCTCCATTTACAAGTCGTTACCTTTCAATGTGGGAAAAAAAAATTCCACATTGTTGTCGAGGAGAATCGAGTCGAGGCTATATTCCTATGAAAATTCTTCCGTGTTTCGTGTACAACCCCCTCCTCGTAGAGATCTATACAGAGACGTCTTGGATCAGACGTACATCTGGCCGGCACATCGTAATGTGAGGCTTATTGTACGCAGTCCTTTATCCCCGACCGTCGTCTATTGCAGTCAGAGCTCGATTCGAGTGACAGTTGTAGTAGTAGTAGTAGTAGTAGTATTAGTTGGTTGACAGTGGTAAGAGATCGGACGACAAACGTCCATTGACATCTTGATTGGGAAGGGCGAAATTGCTATTGATTGATATTTCGATTCAGAATTGATCCGAATCGATCTGTGTGTGGTCTCTGAATGATCGATGAACGAATCGTTTTCGAATCGGTCATAGTTTTTTTGAATCTCATCTCATGTTTCCACAGGAACGTACTTCAACTGTATTATGTTTATGGTGGCCAGCAGTGTTGTCAGCACCATTCTTATTTTAAATTACCATCACCGGAATGCTGACACTCACGAAATGTCCGAATGGGTAAGTTGAGTTATTAATTTACTTTGTTGGTGGAAATTTAAAAGAATTGACTCGAACATAGATTCTGCATAAGAAATGATGATGAGAAAGTTTGCTTTGTTTTCCAGTTGTTTGTTTTTCGAGTAAAACAAAGATTTTTGAATTATTTAAGTTATCTTCAAAGCTGTGATATCGATTGATTGTGATCATATTGTAAAATTGTGACTCGAAAACAAGGTCAATTTTTTTTTTTTTATGTTAGAAAAAAAGATTCAAAAACGTGAATACAATGTTTAAAATAACATTGTTGTTTGAAATATTGTTTGTAACATGTGTTATTTAATTCACAATTATTCGGAATAACTTTTTATTTGAATAATTTGGAATTTAAAAAATGTATTATTTTAAAAAAGAATTGATTATTTGTATTTTCAAATACATTATTGGTTTTAAATTAAATTTGACTTTTAAACGAAAAACTTGCTCGAATGGGATTGTTAACAGTTGTTGCAATCTTCTGCCACTAAGAATTACAATATTTATTGTTAATAAATTTTAGATTAACCATTAACAATATACGATAAATTAAGAATAAATTAAAAGATTTTCTCGTTATAAATTCGAAGAGAGAAAGTATTAAATTTTAAACACATGAGAAAGATCAAAGGAACAAATGATATAAAATTACGTCAGCGGCAAAATATCAGCAAAAACAGCATTTGAAATAACATAAATTTTCCTCGACAAATGCGAATGTGTCAATTGACCATGCTCAAAAATATATTTCAAAGAATTTCTTTTTTTTAACAAATTATTCAAATAATTTATGAATTATTTATATCTAGAAAATATGCGTATATATATATATATATATATATATATA